CAAATACTTTTGAAATAGTGTGGAAAGTAGATGAGGGACTTGAGAAAAAAGGCATGTGTACCCTTTCCAAAAAATAAGAGAATCAAGGGGTTTCACAGGACTGAGAAGTTGGGAGGGGGAGTTTGCCTCTTGCATTATTTATACTTCTGATACTGTTTCTGATAAACATCTAGGTTACTAGAATGTGTCATTTTCATTAATTTATATAGACAAAATACTCAATAACCACTTACAGCCACAGAGTAGATATAGACAAGTGAATATATTAATATAAGGCCTAGGAGTCGAGCTTTGGTGTCAGCTAAGCTTAGGCCCTGACTTCTGTGAGAAGCCCACTTCTAAGAGAGCAGACCTGCTTATGGCTCGGTGAGTGCTGGAGTCTTTCCCATCAATCTGCACTAGTAGGTCAAATTTATTGCAGTCCCACATCCAAAGTTCAGAAACCAGCATGTAGATTCATACAGCATCAACATTTTTAGAGTCCATTTATTATCATAATTGTCACAATCAATGTTTTCGATCCACACAGTCGTAAGTTTTATAACTTAAGCTCTGTCATGATAAGAAGAACAGAGAAATCTGGGCAGCATCAGAGAATGAGATGAGAGCAGCTCTAGGTTGTCTGGCTTTGGTCCGACTCAGTCCTGCCATAGGTAAACCTACAGGAGATTCTGAACTAAAAATGGAATGAGGAACACCTGAGTCCTTACACAACCCCTGCAATTACTCGAGCTCCTACCTAGGAAAGGCTTACAAATAGAAGTTTCCAGAACTACATTAAACTCCAGGGATTGCCTGGCACTTCCACCCCCCCCTTTGCTACAAAGTGTTACCATTCCACTGAGCACTTATAATTTGTGAGTAATGTTTTCACCTCATTCAGATGATGAGTAAACAGAAGAAAGGAATCTATGAATATATGCTGAATAATAAAGCCATTTGATCTTTGGCATCCATCATAAATTCAACTTTTGACATAATGCCTTCATAATCCTAAATTCACTAAGGGAGGAAATGAAAGACTATGAAAAACCCTCAGAACTCTTTCCGTAAAAACTAGTCTAAAGTTGCTTCAGGCTCTTCTTCATTTAAATATTGTCACTTTACCTCATGTTACATTTCTAAACAGTTCCTGCAACTTAGAAACATATGTTCATGAGTCAGTGACTGAAAGACTCACTTCTATTTTTTTTAACCTTAAATTCCACAAACTAAAAGCAAGCATTGGGTTAAAATACGATTTGTAAGTTCTGCAATGAGCATGTTTCCTACCCAATACTAAGGATATCTCTGTCTTCAGCTACCAAAAATGATGCTTCTATCAGAATTTTAACATCAAATATCTTTATATCTTTGTTACACGTAACAGCAATTCTTGGCAAATACCATTGACTATAAATCACCAAGATAATATTTAAACATATAATAAGATTAATAATCCTCTGCAAAGCTATTGATTTCAATGAAATGGCCCTGAGCCCAACCCATCTTCGCTTTGATGGGCTGATTTTCTCCAATAAAATACCTATCCAGTTTTCCTTTTTATAACCAAAGACTCAATTCACACTTGATCACAGCTGAACATCTATAACTGGTGACAGCACTGAGGACTGGGGTATACAAAATTCCCTATTTGGAAAACTATCTTGGAATTCAGCCTAGACCTATTTAATTAAAATAAAATGTCATAGAGTCAGTGACCAAAGCATTTGAAACAACAAATGTACTTATTCTTTTAGTAATGATAATTTTTAAAAGATGAATCTTTACATTTCAACTATCCTTATCTGTTTGGATGCTTGGCAAAAGGTATTGTTCCAATACCGCCTACTTAAGTGACAGCAAGCTTCTAAAATAGTACATAGTACATTTCTAAAATGATCATATACTATACATAGAGAATCCTAAAGATGCTACCAGAAAACGACTAGAGCTAATCAATGAATTTGGTAAAGTAGCAGGATACAAAATTAATGCACAGAAATCTCTGGCATTCTTATAAACTAATGATGAAAAATCTGAAAGTGAAATTAAGAAAACACTCCCATTTACCACTGCAACAAAAAGAATAAAATATCTAGGAATAAACCACCTAAGGAGACAAAAGACCTGTATAGAGAAAATTATAAGACACTGATGAAAGAAATTAAAGATCATTCAAATAGATGGAGAGATATACCATGTCCTTGGATTGGAAGATTCAACACTGTGAAAATGACTCTACTACACAAAGCAACCTACAGATTCAATGCAATCCCTATCAAACTACCACTGGCATTTTTCACAGAACTAGAACAAAAAATTTCACAATTTGTATGGAAACACAAAAGACCCCAAATAGCCAAAGCAATCTTGAGAAAGAAAAATGGAGCTGGAGGAATCAGGCTCCCTGACTTCAGACAATACTACAAAGCTACAGTAATCAAGACAGTATGGTACTGGCGCAAAAACAGAAATATAGATCAATGGAACAGGATAGAAAGCCCAGAGATAAACCCACACACCTATGGTCACCTTATCTTTGATAAAGGAGGCAGGAATGTACAGTGGAGAAAGGACAGCCTCTTCAATAAGTGGTGCTGGGAAAACTGGACAGGTACATGTAAAAGTATGAGATTAGAACACTCACTAACACCATACACAAAAATAAACTCAAAATGGATTAAAGACCTAAATGTAAGGGCACACACTATCAAACTCTTAGAGGAAAACGTAGGCAGACGCTCTATGACATAAATCACAGCAAGATCCTTTTTGACCCACCTCCTAGAGAAATGGAAATAAAAACAAAAATAAACAAATGGGACTTAATGAAACTTAAAAGCTTCCGCACAGCAAAGGAAACCATAAAAAAGACCAAAAGACAACCCTCAGAATGGGAGAAAATATTTGCAAATGAAGCAACTGACAAAGGATTAATCTCCAAAATTTACAAGCAGCTCATGCAGCTCAATGACAAAAAAACAAACAACCCAATCCAAAAATGGACAGAAGACCTAAACAGACATTTCTCCAAAGAAGATATACAGATTGCCAACAAACACATGAAAGAATGCTCAACATCATTAATCATTAAAGAAATGCAAATCAAAACTACAATGAAATATCATCTCACACCTGTCAGAATGGCAATCATCAAAAAATCTACAAACAATAAAAGCTGGAGAGGGTGTGGAGAAAAGGGAACAATCTGGCACTGACTGTGGGAATGTAAATTGATACAGTCACTATAGAGAACAGTATGGAGGTTCCTTAAAAAACTACAAATAGAACTACCATACGACCCAGCAATCCCACTACTGGGCATATACCCTGAGAAAACCATAACTGAAAAAGAGGCATGTACCAGAATGTTCACTGCAGCTCTATTTATAATAGCCAGGACATGGAAGCAACCTAAGTGTTCATCAACAGATGGATGGATAAAGAAGATGTAGCACACATATACAATGGAATATTACTCAGCCATAAAAAGAAACGAAATTGAGTTGTTTGTAGTGAGGTGGATGGACTTAGAGTCTGTCATACAGAATGAAGTAAGTCAGAAAGAGAAAAACAAATATCGTATGCTAACACATATATATGGAATCTAAAAAAAAAAATGGTTATGAAGAACCTAGGGGCAAGACGGGAATAAAGATACAGACCTACTAGAGAATGGAATTGAGGATACGGGGAGGGGGAAGGGTAAGCTGGGACAAAGTGAGAGAGTGGCATGGACATATATACACTACCAAATGTCAAATAGATAGCTAGTGGGAAGCAGCCGCATAGCACAGGGAGATCAGCTCAGCTTGGTGCTTTTTGACCACCTAGAGGGGTGGGATAGGGAGGGTGGGAGGGAGGGAGACGCAAGAGGGAAGAGATATGGGGATATATGTATATGTATAGCTGATTCAGTTTGTTATAAAGCAGAAACTAACACAACATTGTAAAGCAATTATACTCCAATAAAGATGTTTAAAAAAATAAATAAATAAAATGATATCATAGAAATTATACATATTATTCAAAACTCATTATTATAACATAAGGTGCTTTTCTAATTTTATTTCGTTAAAAACATTGAAAAATAGAAGAGAAGAAAATGAATGTTATTGCAGAGATTAGTCTTATTCTATTTAGAGGAAAAGCAAAATAATACATTTAAGGTTTGGATATTTGAATAGGAAAGTGTTGATAAATAGGTTCTATTCTTTTTACTATACATATACTGCTCTCAAAATTATCTATTAGCGACATAAATTTTATATTTACTCTTCACCCATTGAAATAAAACTTATAGGATAATTATTTTTGGTAATAATTGCATCTCTCCATAATTTTAAGAAGGTGTGGTCACTAGGCATTCATTCATATCATGAATCAAAAAGAAACAAAGGAATGTCAGCGTAATCCCAGTATCATTTCCAGTCATTTCACATATTTCATTTGTGAATCAGTAATATTAGATGAAAATCAGAGATGAAATTTCCTTTGAGAAATCAAAATATATCTTCTCTGAATATGACTACAACATTCAAGAAAATAAAAGAGAGAGGAAAGCATAAGATATGAATATGAGAACAGCATATTACAGAATTTAAATGTAAAACCTGCTTATTTTCAGGATCAATTTCTTCTTTCTATTCCCAATGCCAAGAGTGGGCCACCTGACAGGACTGTGATTGGCTGGGTTTACACATGCTGAAATTGATCTGCCTGTTGTCTCACCGCCCCTCCCTGAGTTCTGTTGCCCCAATGCCCATTCCAAACCATCCTGCTAATAACTCCAGCCAGATTCACATCCCTAAAATACCAGCGCAGCACAGTGGAATAGCTCTGGAGCCAGAAAGACATTGTCTGGAATCCTGGCTCCACTTACTATAGTTGTGGCTTTAAAGAAATCATTTAACATTTTTGAACATCAGATTTTTTCACATGTAAAATAAAGATAATATGTAAAATAAAGTTCATTTGATCACACAGCTATCAAAATTGTAGATAGGTATGTAAGTTACCTTGAACACAGAAGCACAATCATGTGTTGAAAGTATGCCAATGATAAAAACGAAGAAGATAATGGTTAAGAAGAATAAGATGATGATGAAGAAGGAGGAAGCAGAGGATGAGAAGAAGAAATACTCCATGTCTTCAGAAATTTGCAATTGTCCCCACTGTATAATATATAAGGGCAAATTTAATCTGTGTGAATTTTAAGATGCTCCACAACTGCATCCTGCTCTAGCTATTGAGCACAATGTCTACTACTCACAAGGTGTATTTTTTTCTGCTCCAGTGAGGGGAATCACTCATCCCTATCCTACCTGGCTGTATATTAATTTATGCCTCAAAACCCTTTGCTCCAACTACTTCTGAACAGAAGAGTCTTTTTGCTTTTCAACAACTATCCAAGTTCCACTGATTTTTTAAGTCTCAGCTCAGGCAGCCAGACTTTTCTTTCAAGGCTTCTCTAAAATCTTGCTAAAAAGGGAATTTTGAAGGTTTTGGCATTATGGAAGAATTCAATTGACCTTGCAATAAAAGTACAGGAGATATGATGCTTCTTCAAATAGAAGTGGCCTGAGATCATTTTCAGTTGTAAAGAATTACTGCCATTATATGTGTGGTTCTAATAATTAGATGAAACCCTCATAAATTTCAAGGCTACACCCATAGTGAGGCACCAAGAAGCTAGGTCCCAATGATCAAGCAAATACTGAATCCAATGAAAACATATGAACAGTGCAAGAGAGACCACTAAATGATGTTATTTCACAAGAAAACTATTTTTTTAAGTTTTAGGAAAAAATACAATTCATATTAAACATTTTTCTAAATATTCAAATAGACATTGATATTTTAAATCAATATTGCAAAATCACACAAAACATACAAATATTGTATCACTAACTTGTCAAGATTCCTTTCTAATCTAATGCTTATGTAAAAATATGGAGAAAAGTCCGAATTAAAGACTAATTTATATGTCTTTAAATATTTGACAATATTTAAAGGATATTTAACGGATATTTTAAAGGATATGACAATAGGATATTTGACAATAAAATGATTAACAAAATATTTAATCAAAAGTTGTAACAATACCCTATCCCACAAAAATATTAGCAAAAGTGTATTCAGATGATTTTAGAAAAAAGGAAAACTAGTTTAAATGAGAATATCAAGAAACTTCATTGTGTATTTCAAATACACTGAAATTGTGTATTTCAGTGCCATGTTACTTACATGTTTATAATTGTATTTTTAAAAGAATATCTCCTTTATATTTCTATTTAACAGATTTACCCATTTAACATTTATTTTATAATTTATCTTTGCAGGAAACATAAGCAAATACTTCCCAACGGTTTTCAGAGATCCTTTTTCCTTAGTTCTGTAATTACTTTCTCTAAACACCCATTTCCTTTTATTATGTCAGGATTTTATTATTATATTCTATGTCTCTTCTCCTCCACACTACCCAGGTAGTTTATATAAAGAAATCAATATTAATGCTAAGTTTGAAGTATACTTTTCTGCTAACAGTGACAAGAATTTATCATGAGGACCAGCAAAATGAAAACAACTCTAGATGGATGAGGCATAAATAGGAGGATTTGCATAATAATTCTACTTTATTTTTACTCTAAGAATATAGATTACTTCAAACACATTGACTAACTCATATTCATTTGGAACTACAAAACAAGGTTTTATTATCAACATAATATATTACTGTCTAAATTTAGAGTTGAAAATCTTACCTGAGTTTTGTTAGTACACCGTTATTTTTTACAAAACAGGAAATGTATGACAAGCTGTCAGGATAAAGAATACCAATGTGGAAAATGGAAGAGAGAGGGAAGAAATCAAGTCCACTTTAAGAAGAAACACCGAATCCCTCTGTTTCCCAGACCTACAGTAGTTCTGCATCTTATAAGCAACTGTCTTTTCTTTGCTCTGAGAATAACACATGCTCTGCCCCAGCAGGAAAATATAAAAATTAAATAGAAAACCACAAGGTTATTAAGCATCTTACCCTCTGGGCTTGCTGGGCTGCTCTAGCGGCTCAGTGTTACAGACACATATGTAAACAACAGAATTTCCAGCATCCTTTTCTCATCTGTATAGCTCTGGGGTCTTGGCCAACAGGATTATTTCCAGCATTAAGGCCACTCCACACTAACTCAAAAAAGATTCCCATTGGTTGTGAAGTTTTATCAAAACCAATACCACAACACTCTCTGTGGATCACAAGTGAGCTATCCAAAATGAAATCATTTTAATGTTCCCTAACTCAGTATCGTTATCCAATACTTTCTACACAACCTATTTGAACTGTACTGTAAGTGAAAAAGGGAGAAACATCCACCCCTTCATCCACCAGTGTGTTTAATGTTTAATAACAATCTGTATAACTTGCAATAGTAATAGAAAAAATAAAATGGCAAAGCAAGAACTAATACCGTATCTATCTGCAAAAGATTTAAAGAAAGATTATAGTGCAGATTACGGGAACAATAGGAAACATCACTGGTCCAAGCTGATCTTTATTAGATTGCCCCAGAAAAGAAAAAAAAAATTTAATAAACTATTTGGGTATAGAAATCAAGATACAAAACTGTATGTCAAAACCTTTGATTTCAGTCATGTTGGCAGGAATTGTGAGCTGCCGTCTCCAGAGCCCCCAGTGAGAGCTCTCCAGCCCCTTTCCCTGGGGAAAGGAAAGGAGTGACTTTCTGGTGGCATGATGCAGCTGTCAGGAAGTGTTCTGACAAATGGGTGCCGGCAGACCACATGAAAGAGAGCTTCTCTGGTTGAACTAACAGCATAGAATGCCCAAAGTTTCTTTTCAGAGGAGAGGGCAGAAGAAACACAATCACTATATCCTTATAAATAGCATGAAAACAGCATTTGAAAGTTAGGGAGCTAAGGTCTCCAAATTATTTTATTCTTCCTCCCCTCTTAATTTGGAAGAATATTCTTAGCTGAATAACATATTTGTCATCTATTTCTACTGAACAGCATCCTTTCCTCCTTACTTCCTGATGCAATGGAGGGGGTGACCTTTCTCCCATAAAAAGTGAACTAACCCTCTGAGGTTTCCTTTTGTTCTGTCTTTTCAGAAAATGTGCTCAGTCACCATACTCTCTTCTCTCTCCCTGAACTCTCCCTTTCATCTGGTTTTTCCTCATGACATTTAAAACACCACCAGCTCTTCAGTCAGTTTCAGTTATGCCGATGAATCTCACTTCAGTTTGGTTATTTTCACTTGTAGGTACTATTGTCTTCTGCTTCATGGTCAGATGATTGAAAGCGCTCTTTCCAGCCAGGAACCCCATTTAATCTACCATCTACTCCCTTTAGTACACCAAAGTGACGCTCTGAAAACACACACTTGCCCACACACACATGCATGTGCGTTCACACACATGCACATTTTGTGTGTTTTTAAGTTTGTAGACTCCTCTCAGCCCACGTGCTACTTGTCCTCTATGCAGCCTTTGATACTGTTCACAGCTCCACCTACATGAAGACTTCTCAGATCTCAGCACTACACCCTCCTGGTCTTCCTCATGAGCACTCACCATCCTCCCCCCCGCCCTCTGGAGGCACCTCTTTTCCCTCCCATCCCTACATATACTGCAGGTATGTCCTCATGTAAATCTACTACCACGCTGGATAATTTCACCCATTCTAACAGTTTCAATTATCACCTTTCTTTACCAGATACTTATATTCAGATCCAATCCTTTTCTGAGTCTCCAACACTTATATACATCAGCACACCGTACTCTGCTTCTAGAAAATACGACAATATGTCATCAAGGTATTTACAACTGAAATCACCATTCCTCCACGGGCTTGCTGTGTTATTTACCTCAGTAATGCCAACCACGGGCTTCCCTGGTGGCGCAGTGGTTGAGAGTCCGCCTGCCGATGCAGGGGACGCGGGTTCGTGCCCCGGTCCGGGAAGATCCCACATGCCGTGGAGCGGCTGGGCCCGTGAGCCATGGCCGCTGAGCCTGCGCGTCCGGAGCCTGTGCTCCGCCACGGGAGAGGCCACAACGGTGAGAAGCCCGCGTACCGCAAAATAAATAAATAAATAAATAATGCCAACCAGTCTTACACTTTGCCAAAAAAAATCCTCGAAGTCATCCTTGAATTCTTTTCTATATTCAATGCAGCATCACCTCCTTTTGATTTTACTTCAATAAGCTGCCCAGTCCTCTCTCTTCCCACTGCAACAATCCTGGTTCAGGCAACTGTCATAATCTGTCTAGGTCACTGCAGTGTCTTCCTAAATGATCTATCTGCCTCCAAGCTTGTTTAGTAACAATTGTTTAGTAGGCAATCTTTAGTAAGAGTTACAATGGCCTATTGCCAGTACTCATGCCTCTTGAAGGCTCTGAAGATTTTTAACCCTCTTATCACATCTATTCTTCAAAATGCATTTGCCAGCATGCAACTTTTCTGGATTATTTTTTATGTCTTGTAAGCCATGGCATGTCCTTATCCTCCCCTTTATTACTTTGTTCTCTTTCAAGGAGGAATCCCTCCAAGGGACTGTCACTGGTCCTATTCTCACCCCACATCCTCTGTCAGAGTAATCATATCCATTTTTGTGGATTCTTTCACCATATGTATTACAGTGGGCTGAATGATGTCCTCCAGAAAGATATGTTAAATACTTAACCCTCGGTACCTGTGAATGTGCCCTTATTTGTAAATAGGGTCTTTGCAGATGTAATCAAGTTAAGATGGGGTTATACCATATTAGGCTGGGTCCTAATCCAATGACTAGTGTCCTTTTAAGAAGAAGGAAATTTAGATACAGAAACACAGAGGAGAACACTATGAGAAGACAGATGCAGAGACTGGAGTGATACATCTACAAGCCAAGGACTTTTGGTACCCACAAGAATCTAGGAAGAGGCAAGAAAGGATCCTCCCCTAAAGCCTTTGGAGAGAAAGTATGGCCTTGCTGACATCTTGATTTTGGACTTCTAGCCTCCAGAACTGTGAGACAATAAATATCTATTGTTTTAAGCCACCAAGTTTGTGGTGATTTGTTAAACAGCCCTAGCAGGTATACTAATATACAAATAATTATCAAAT